TTTAGCTTGGCTACATCAAGAAGACGCTATATAGTTATTTGAGAATGAGAGTGGCTTTAAAAGTAAATAGAATTTTCGGCCAGCAAAAAACTGTGCATGGGGGATTACTATTCTGGTTGAAGTGTATTTCGTTGTTTGGTCACTAATGGTTCATAGAATGGACTATTGATTTGTGTTCAGCTTTTAGGGAATGTCGTGGAAGGCAGGTGAAAATTGGCAACCATGAGATGGAATCTCATTGTCATTTTTTTGTGTTCTTTATTATGCTAGGAATATTACATTAGGCATGTGGATGGTTGCCCAATCAGTTTTGAAGCAGAGAGACAACGTGTAATCGATTGCTTGGAGGCAGCAATCAAGAGACGAACATCCGAGGTACCTATGGGGTTACCTACATTTAGTTTAATTTATTTTTTGAGTAAAACGTAAATGTGATTTTCTTGTGTCTATAATTCAGAGAATGATGTCATGCCCAATCTCGTGTCACTACCATGCGGTCCGTGACAATAAATGAGTTAGACCTATGGTTGATTAGGTCTAAGTTTCAACCATACACGGCGATGTCGGTGTCACCTAATTTTGTGGGGAGATGACCGGTGTCCATGATGTCGAGTTCATGTCTAGGTGATGGCTGGAAAATTCGGGTGCAGTCAGGCATTGCGACGGAGGTGACGTCGCAGGCAGCGTCCAGGACGTCGCAGGCAGATTGTAAGAAACACCCAGGACGTCGCAGGCAGATTGCAGGCAGCTCCCAGGACATCCCAGACAGATTGCAGGCAGCACCCAGGACGCAGCCAGGACATGGCCAGACACAGAGCAGGCAGCACAGCAACACAGAATGCAGGCTGCCTGACATGGGGAGTGACATGGGCGCGACATGGACAGTAAATCCCAGCATACCAGTGGTTTTCTGGAGGAAAATACTGTGGGCAGATTGCTGGGATATTTTGGGAAGACTTGTCCAAGTTGGTTACTTAACCCACTTACAAGAGAATGGCCAAGGGAGCAAGCAAAACTCAAATTGATGTCTATGAAAGAGACATTAATCACATGAAATTTTTGTAGGGAAAATCCACTTGCAAAGAAGCAAAGTCCAAGTTTGCTTCCACTTGGTCTAAGGAGGTTTAAGGCAAATTGTAGCCAATGGGGACCCTTGGATGGGGATTGATGAGGATTGATCCGAACCATTAAATCTAAGGAGGTTTACATGAGATTTGCCTATAAATAGGGATGGAGTCCCATTGTAATTTATTAGATTGGAATCCATTAGAATTTCAAGTAGTATATGTGAGTTGAGAGAATTGTTGGAAGGCATGTAATTTATGGGATTCATGTTATTCTTATAATTCTTAGATCACATTGTAGATTATATTGGTGTGGAGTTTTTATACAAAGAGAGATTTTCTCCCAAACTTACTTGTTTCTCGATATTGTCTTTATTACTTCAAATCTCATACTCAAAGTTTGTCTTGATTTAGCCTACAAGATTGAATCATTTTGGGGCGTCGAAAGGCTGACTTAGCGCTTTCTCGTAGGGACGGGAATTGTGTTGCGTTAAGACCACACGGTGTCTAGTTTTTCTAGTGTAAGAAATCTAGCCCCGTGACAATGAGCTAGAATTAAATAGCGAGGACAGGTTGGTCTTTTGTCCAATGTAACTCACATATCTTGGCAGAGCAGTCTTTCATTCAGACGAGTAGAGGTCACAACTAGGGGTACTCAAACTGTAAATGTTTCGACGTGACTGATGCATTGGGTTATCCAGTAAAAAGCACGACAATTGAGGCAGTGCGGAAAGAAATAGGTCTGACTGCACTAAACTTGAAAGACGGTACATACTCAACTTCACCACCTCAGAAAATGGGACGATTTTCTTTAGGTAATCTCTTCCGTTCAAGATCACAAAAATTCCTCTCCAATTTAGGCCTGATCATGTTATGTTCCTGAGCTGTTTAACTGACAAATTTGATGCCAGCCCAGTTCCTGCAAATAATAGAATTATAGCAGGATCATATCATAGGCTTGTAAATTTTTTCTTCTCATATTTTCTGTTTATTCCCCCTACATTCAACATTGTAAATACATAAATCATCCGTCTGTGTAGCAAATGCCCACCTTATTGATTTATTGTCACGGTTTACCTAGTGATCTTTATTCAAATGCAACCAATATTACCTATAGCTATCAACTGTTATACTTGATGATGGTGGCTCTATAGGGGATACAAGATCACCTGGTTGAGCTTTCTGTGCTTTTTCCAGTTCGAAGTAAAACTTACCATGAGGAGTTATATAAGAAACTTATTATGACCTGATAGTATCAAGAATGATGCTGTAAAAAATGCTACTTGTAAGGAGCTTATAAGCATTGTTTTTGGGATCTAATTAGAGCATGTTCGGGTACACTTATAAACTGGCATATTTTACTTGTATTATAGAGAGAGACTGAAAAAAGAGTAATAATTAGCAACAATGTATGAATACCCATTGCCATCTTATTTCAAGCATGCTCAAGAGCATTACCATAAAAGTACAGAAACTAGTAGTAGTTTTCTTTTAGACGTCTCTCGAAATACAGAAACTAAAAGAAACTTGCCATACAAAAGCCTCACGACATGGACAACCTCTATATCAGGAACAAGGGCAAATGAAAGTCCATACACTGAGAATATCAGAAATCTGCTATTCCCACCTTAAACCACAGAAAGTTCACCACAATCACTTACAAAGACTCTCTTTCTAGGACGATCACCTCTGTCTATCTCCTGTGACTCAACCAGCTTAACAACATCCATGCCCTCCAGAACTTGTCCAAACACAACATGCCTCTGGTCCATCTACAGTGTCTGTAATTCATCCAACACTAATACTCGTAAAATACATATTGATGCACATTTTTGTCACATAATCTTGTTACCCCTGAATAAATTTTACATTTGACTCAAGTGCTTCTTTGAGTGGCCAAAAGATTGTGGATTGTTCAGTATACTTCTCTTCAGTTTCAATAACTTGAGAAGCAAAGAAAGAGGGAAAAACCGTTTTCTCCTTTTAACTTTTTAAATGGAAAGGTGACTTCTTATATTTAGAAAATGCAAACAACCACTCAATATTTTTTTATTTCGAAAGATTTCAAAACAAAAACAGAAAGAGCAATGTGACTGGCTACTAATAATAAAAAAGGAGCAATTAGAATCCTGTGAAAGGTGGTTAATATTTTTCATAATAAGTATAGGAAATGAAGAAGGCATATTTATACCTATTTGCCCCACCTCTACTCAACCACCTATTTTGGTATTTGCCTCAGAAACCACCAATTTATTATGATCTTTGATTTAGTTCTATAAAATGATTTTATTTGATAACTCTGCCTAACTCGACAGTGCAAATGAAAAATTGGTTTGATAACTCTGCCTGCCTTAACAGTGCAAATGAAAAATTGGCTTCCATTGGTATCGGGGCCTGCATTTGCCATGCTAACAACTCCAGGTCCAGTGTGAGCCACTGCAAATATGAAATGCATTTCACTCGGCATTAACAAGAGCTCAGAATAAAAGGGTAACTAAATGGAGAAACTTACACTGGAAGTTTTCATCTTTGAATGTACGGCCATATATGCTTTTACCACCTGTACCCTGCAAAATCAGTATTCCCAAATGCCGGATTAATTAAAAATCTGTGCCTGTGAACTCATAAATCCCAAAAAAAAAATAATAATAATAAGGGGGGAAGGTAACTCTGCATTTATTATGAAACAATTTAAGTACTACTACTAGGCACAAGTCAAAACAAGCAAATGGAAGGTGCTTATTGACTTCATTTGAAGCCACCAAATATGTACATGAAAATCACAATGTCTTAGGTATGAATATAAAAAAGGTAATACGCTTAGTGGTCAACTTGTATCCCATAAATCTTGCACACTGGAAATCTTGTTCAAATCATAGAACACCTAAAAATACTTATCATCAAGCCAGAATCATCTTCAACATGACTAATATACACTCAGAACTCAAAAGTAAAAATGAATAAACAGCATATGGTGGAAATGAGGCACAAACCAACACAAACAAGATAAATTAAACTAGTTATGCACAACAATCAATAACAGGAAGACTAGGGCAAAGCACTGGTAAATTAACGCATTCATAAGCTCCGAGAGAGACAAGTGTGTGGATAGACAACAAACCAATTGTACTGGATATGGTGATAGCAGTTACTTTCTAAATCAAAAGAAACTCCAAGGATGTGAGTGTATCCAAGCACCAGGTGGATGATGAAACCTCAAAAGGAAGATAGAGGAATTATACATGTTGTCATCCTTTGTTCAACTGACTAACTTTTCACTTTAAATTCTAGCAACTAAGACATACAAATTTTAAAGTGTACATACATTCATTTACCTTCCGCTTTAAGTGACAGGAAGCTCATATACAAAATGTGTACCAAGGTTAGTTTGACTTTATTTTCCTTCCTGCCAATGCTTTAACATCATTATGATTTCAGGTAGAACGTCAATAACACTTCATATTGGGAGCCCATTTAACAATTTTATATTACATTGAATATATTTTAGTATAAAGATTTAGAAATGCTAAAATGCAATATATTTAAATTTGAAGGCTTGCATATTCAATGGTAAAAATAATCTTAAGAGGCAATATTGGTTTTCATGGTAAAATATTTGCATTGAATATGGTCTTTGGAATCAATTCTTCGAATATGGAAAGCACAAAGCTAGTGTTCACCTGCACCTGGGATCAACTAACACAGTATAAACTCACTGTAGTACAATTATATAACTCTTAATTAAAAGAACTTTCAAGGATGAACCTAACAGTTGCAATAAGTTTATATAACTAGAAATTCAGTGATTACAGTATTTATCGCTCAACGTTAGTGAAAATCCAACTAACAAACCAAACAGTTAATAGTTTTTCAAAGACATCTTACATTTCCTTTATCAAAATCTCCTCCTTGGATCATGAAATCCTTAATAACGCGGTGGAATGAGGATCCTTTGTAGCCAAATCCCTTCTCTCCTGTTCAATTGCATATTCGTAATAATATATATTCAGAATCATCACAAATAAATGATACGCACCTACACTGACACACACCCATACATATATTGTTACAGTCCATTTTCTATTAGTCAAAGTCAAGGTTGAATTGTCAAAGTCAAGGTCAAATATGGACCTAATTAGAATAATTTTTTTGGGGCTTATGTTATATTTAAGAAATTGAGGGTTAAGATGGATTAAAATTGAAGTGGGGGACTTGCTTATACATCATATGATAGTGGAGGGACTTCCTATGCAAATAGCCCATTATTTTACCAAATTTTAAACCCAATTCCTTACCTTTTCACCCCCTACACACAGAGAAGAAACTGACCGAGAAAGAGAGGAAAGAAAGGGGAGAAAAAGAAGAAAAAAGGAGGAAAAAGAAGAAAAGAGGAAGGAAAAAGGGAAGAAAAGGGTAAGTGTCTATTTTCTCCATTTTAGGTTCGATTTATCATATTTTTTTTCATGAGATAAGGAATATATTATGTCAATTTTCTAGGGTTTTTATTTGGCTCGAAATTTCAAATGTAGGTAAAAGATTATGGTTTTTAGTTCAAGTTTTCTTGGTGGTTAGCTTCTATTCACATTTAAGGTAAGGAACCTTATTTTTTTGGCAAACCCTAGAGTTGCTAATTTGATTCTTGAGTAAGGATAATTGTGGGAAATGATTGTGATGATGAAATATTTACTTGGAAGTATATATTTATGGAAGAAGAGGAAAATTTAATGGAATGAATTATGATTACTAGTTGTCAGTAGATTGAAGTTGGTATTTGTATATATGCTCGGATTGAAGGTTATGTTGATGAGTTGGTCATTAGTAAATGGACTAGAAAGTGATATTAGCTCCAATGGATTAAAGGAATAATTTGGGGAATTTATTCAAGTATGGAGGAATTAAGTTTTAAGAGCTTGTGTGTTAATATTAAGACTACTTTCTATGGTGGTCGCTAAATTGATTATTCATATCATATTTCAGGTGGTGACGAGGAGATTGGAAACGTCTATCAGCCAGTCTAGCTTGTAGCTCGTATTTTGTGAGTGGAAAACCTTATTTTTCAGAAATAAATATTTATTAAATATATATTATATCCGAAAGTTAATTATTACCTATATTTGATTTGACGGCATGATTTCCAAAATCAAATGAATTTTTGTAGTCACTTTACTTTTAAAAGTTAAATCTAGTTCATTGAAATTATTTCTCTAGCATGTTATATTCATATTATATAGTTCAGCATAGTTATAGTTATTTTAAAACCATCGGAAAGTACCCATGTGATTTTACCCGCTCTGCACTGATGTGAATGTGTTTCCACGGTGTATGACCAGATTATCAGAGGTCTTTGGGACCCACTCTCGTACACATATAGGCTTTGGGCCGTGTATTAGGGTGATTAGCCTTTGGGGCAGCTCTGCGTACGTATGACCAGTTTATCAGATTATCAGATTTGAATGGTTTTGCCTTGTACATCGAGATTACTCTGTACATGAGTAAGGCTATTCATTGGGTACTTCTTGGTGTGATTATTTAGTGTATCATTTATATTCATTCAGTTTTAGATTCACAGATTTTCAAATATCAGATAATAGTTCATTTCAGAATATAGAATTCAGCTATTTCAGTTACAGAAATACAATTTTAACTTATAGAAACGACAGTTTTACACATATTTATGTTGATACCAGATTGTCTATACTTGGCATATTTTTACAATTGGTTATTCAGAATAAATAGTATGAATTTTATGATTTTAGCATGTTTCAGTTATAAAAGGAAATTATCAGAATTTCTACAAATTGTAAGAAGAAAAGAAAAATAAATCAGATTTTCAGTAAAAATGTATAAATGGAAAAAGTATATGTATTTGCGAACTATCCACTCACTGAGTTACAAACTCACATATTTTGTCATGTTTTTCCTATCAGGAGGCCGCTGAATTTGAGATACCTGGAAAGCCTGTTGAAGTTCAGAGCCTGACTACCCATCATTAGGTTGCATGATTTTTACCATATCTAGCATGTAAATGTTTAATTGGGAACTTATGTCATAAAACACTTGGTCTAATATTTTGTGTAATGTTCACTTTGTCGATGGGTTGCTTCATCGTTGTAATGCATGCATGCAAACATGGTGTTTTGAAGTAGAAGTGTTCGTTCAAGTTTAATTCCATATTGATTTAGTTGTGGTGGCATTGATGGATTTGGTGATCCCAAAATATTTGATATTGATTATTGTATGGGGTCTTTTGTAAATTTTCAGGTTGGTTTTGTTCTATTTTCAGGGGAAACTCTGCCAAAATTTTTACAAAAATATTGTATTCATTAAATAGTCAAACAGTCGTAGAACAGTCTATGTGGCCTTGGTGGTGGGTCCAGCATCTAGTTGGAACTCATCATCGGCGCACGTCACGTCTGGGTCCACTAGGGTGACTCGAGACGGGGTCGTGTCATATATATTAAAGTTCACATAATAAAACTAGAAAACCTGTACATAGAGCACGGAAATTCTCTGCAGTCTGTGGCACATCATCACCATATAATCCAATTACAATTCTCCCAGCAAGCTTTCCTACAGGTTCTCCAACACTTATATCAAGATAAACTTTGTGGGTTACTTTGGATTGTAATGCAGCTTCCTGTGGAAACAGAATGAATACTCCAAATGCTGTAAGGCATGTCTTGGATAGTTGAAAGAGGTAAAGTTTTCCACTGTTTAAGATGGCGAAGAAATGGATTAGTTATGTCCTATCCATCATTTTAAACCCACACGCACAAAAAACTTGTCTCTATGTCCACCTAATTACAATGATGGGAGAGGAGTAAATTTTCCTTCCTAAAGGATGAAAAACCACACCTTAAAATTTTCATTCTAAGTAAGGGTGGGCATGGGTTTGGGTTGGGTTGGGTCGGTTTTTGCCTCGACCCAAACCCAACCCAATATGATCGGTTTGATAAAAAATTTAACCCAATCTAACCCGTGTAAAGGTTGAAACCCAACCCAACTCAACCCAATCAAGTATCGGTCGGGTTGGGTTGGTCGGTTTTGGACGACTTGTTAACAAAAATTAAAATCATCCAATTTTCTATTATACTAAATTCGAATAGACAAGATTAAATAGTAAGTAAATAAATAAATAAAAACATCTATTATCTTATTTAATCCTCATTAGACGAGCCTACAAAGAATAAAGTGTATTTAACATAACATAAAAAACTTATAATTATTCTTTGTAGGCTCGTCTAATGAGGATTAAATAAGATAATAGATGTTTTTATTTATTTATTTACTTACTAAAAAACTTATACTACATTTCTTGTAGAAAAAACAATAAGTTACTCCTCTAAAATATATCAAGTTAATTACAGTTACACTATCTACTCATAATTTTTAGGTTTCTTTTACTTTTCTGGCATTTTATTTCTTTTATTTCTTTTTATTTTTTTTAAAGTGGCGGATTGGGTTGGGCGGGTTTATTCGATTTTCTTGAGTTAACCGATAACCCGACCCGACCCAACCTGCCTACACAGTTAACCCACCCAACTCCTGTAAAAACAACAAAAAAATCGACCCAACCCGGTCAAGTTGGTTCGATTTGGGCGTTTTGAACGGGTTCGGTCGGTTTTTGCCCACCTCTAATTCTAACCACCTCTTCCATTCCTTCTCCAAAACAAAGGGTATAAAAGCCCTATTACCCTCAGGGTATCAATTGATCAAGAATGTAACTTGTAGCTTCTCGCCACCAAAGAACTATTATAATTGTAGTAAACTTGCTATAATATGTGACTCCCATCTTACAAGAATTCAAGTCCTGGAATTAGATTGAAGAATAAACTAAACTAATCCAACCTTATAATTTATTTGGCCCTCGTTTGGTGCACATTTTTGGAAAAAGAATGCATTTTTACTGTTGATGTGATGGAGAATATGCGGCTGAAAAAGAAGGAAAAGTTATTGATGCGATGAAAAAATTATTTTATTGAAGAATGTGTGGTTGAGAATGAGAATGAAAAAATTAATATAGGTCAAACAGGGCTTGGAGGGTTATAGTTTCAAATATCATCCACTATCTTATCCTCACAAAAATGATTTCGTAAGCCCATTTTTTCAAAAATTCATTTTCAATACACTTCCTCCAATAAAATAATTTTACACAATTTTACACGTATTCCAAAAAATCACTATTTCAAAATATATATTTTTCCCAAAAATGGGGCTCAAACAAGGCTAAAGGAGTTCTCCAATTATAATAAGACAGTGAGCAAAAACACAAACCTCTGACATGGCTCTAACCGGGGAAAACATGCCACCTTTAGTTCTCTGATATGCAGGGCTTGAAAGTGAAGGTGAGAGGCGCAAGGGACAGGATAAAAAATTCAAGGAAGATAATGCAGATTTGCGAGGCTTGGAAGAAGCAAGAACACAAATGAAGCGTGGTAATGTTTCGGTTGGTGGAGCTGAAACTGAGCAAATATTCGATTGAAAGCATGTAAAATAAAAAGACAAATGTTAATTAGCTGATGAATGTAAACAGCGAAATTAGGGTTTGGGCAGCAAACTTACCAGAGACGCAAATGAAGAAATTGTAAACATTTAATTGACTAAAATAGGAATCTTCAACTATCATGATGATCACATACTCATCTCTTTTATGCGGAAATAAATACTTCATTAAAACATACCGGGATCAGCCATAATAAAATCTTCTTAGTGTAGAAAGCTTGTAGAAATTATTTCTCTCACTTCACCCCTTTTCTTGTCTTCACCAGAATATATGGGCAAATCTGATAAAATGATAAAGTGGGTAGAGAGAGGACAATTCCTACGTTCAATAATAAATAACCATTTATCCTACTCCCCATAAAAGTAGGCATATAGGAAATAACTTCCACTTTCTCACTCTAACTGTGCAACCGTGCATTTCAATTTCAAAGCTAATAACCACCTTATCCTGTAAAGTCCAAATAATGTCCATATTACCCTTGTTCATGTGGGACATATTTTAACATTCTCCCACTTGGCCCATATGAACGATAATTATTTGGATTGATAAGGTAAACATAATATGCGCATAACATTAGCTTATTTGCACTTTAGTAAGATTACAATAATATATATAATTAAATAACCTACCAACATGAGTCATGGCAGTAAATATCAATAAAGTGACATCTTCCCTTCCATGTACTACAATGCTAGCAAATTACTTAATTATAATCCATAATAGGAAGTAACTGTAATGTCCCAATAATGTCTTTGTCAAAGACGAATCCTGTCATCAATTATCCATCTCCATAATTACGTAATTGATGGTAAGCAGGAAAGATGTCAGAAACACAATTAGTGATATCTCTACAGATGTTATAGAACCAAAAATAAAAATAAAGATCCATAAATATACCTCAGGGATTGCAACAAAGACCCATGCGATCGACATGTTCCTTAAATGTCTTTGGTGCTAACCCTTTAGTTAGAGGATCTGCAATCATGAGCTCAGTTTTAATATGTTCTATAAACACCGTTTGTTTCTGAACTTCCTCCTTAACGGCCAAATATTTGAGCTCCATGTGCTTAGCGCCATTAGAATATTTGTCGTTCTTGGAGAAAAAGATTGCTGCGGAATTATCGCAATACATTCTCAGCGGCCTGGCAATGCTGTCGACAATTTCAAGTCCTGAGATAAAATTCCGCAACCATAAAGCATGAACTGTAGCCTCAAAGCACGCCACAAATTCAGCTTCCATAGTAGATGCTGCTATGATAGTCTGTTTGGCGCTTTTCCATGATATTGCTCCTCCAGCTAATAGAAACAAGTAACCAAAAGTTGACTTCCGACTATCAATACAACCAGCAAAATTTGAGTCGGAGTAGCCAACCACCTCCAACTGATCAGACCTTCGATATGTGAGCATATAGTGTCTTGTTCCTTTCAAGTATCTCAAAACCTTCTTTGCAGCTTTCCAATGCTCCATTCCGGGATTACTTTGGTATCTCCCGAGCATTCCAACTATAAAACTAATGTCCGGTCTTGTACAGGTTTGAGCATACATCAAGCTTCCAACAACATATGCATAAGGAATATTTTCCATTCTTTTCTTTTCTAATGCATTCTGTGGACAATCATTTTCACTGAACTTGTCCCCTTTACAAATAGGAGCAGGAGTGGCCGCACAATCAGCCATATGAAATCTTTCAAGAACTTTATCGATATATCCCTTCTGAGACAACCCTAGCAATCCACGTGATCTATCACGAAATATTTCAATTCCTATCACGTAAGTTGCCTCACCCATATCTTTCATTTCAAAGTTCATAGAAAGAAATCTCTTGGTTTCATTCAGTAAACCAAGATCATTGCTGGCAAGCAATATATCGTCAACATATAGAATCAAGAAAATGAACTTGCTCCCACTGACCTTTAGATATATACACCGATCAACGGTATTTTCCTTAAATCCAAAGGACGTGATGGTATCATTAAACTTAAGATACCATTGTCTCGAAGCCTGTTTTAAGTCCATAAATTGACTTTTTTAATTTGCATACCATATGCTCCTTTCCTTTAATCAAGAAACCTTCAGGTTAGATCCATATAAACCTCTTCATCCAAATTCCCATTCAGAAAAGCAGTTTTCACATCCATTTGGTGTAACTCCAAATCGAAATGTGCCACCAGAGCCATTATGATCCGAAGAGAGTCTTTCTTCGATACAGGAGAGAACGTCTCTTTGTAATCAACACCTCCTTTTTGAGTGAAACCTTTAGCAACAAGTCTAGCTTTATATCGTTCAATGTTGCCATTGCAGTCGCGTTTGGTCTTAAAGACCCACTTACATCCAACTGTCTTAAAACCTTCAGGCAAATCAACGACGTCCCAAACTTTATTTTGTTCCATTGATTTCAACTCATCATTTATAGCATTGATCCACTTTTCAGATTCATTACTTTCAATGGCTTGTGAAAACGAAACCGAATCTTTACTTGTCCCTAAATCATAATCAGATTCTTGCAGATATACCAAATAATCATCTGAAATAGCTGATCTCCTTTCTCTTTGAGATCTCCTTGTTGCTATTACTTGTGATTGTTCTGCAATCGGTTCATTGGTGACATTCTCATTATGGAGTAGCTGATCACTTGATTGTTGTTCAATGTCATCATACCGTTCGACAACTGGAGAAGCAACAATTTCAATTGAAGGTACTGGTATCAGGATAGGCACCCGAACTTCTTCTAAGACCACATTACGTGATACATTACTCCCACTAATTTCACTATTCTCAAGGAATCTGGCATTTCCGGTCTCCACAATTCTCATACTATGGTTAGGGCAGTAAAACCTATACCCTTTGGACTTCTCTGGGTAACCAATAAAGTACCCACTTACAGTTCTAGAATCCAACTTCTTTTCATGTGGATTATAAATCCTAGCCTCTGCTGGACAACCCCAAATATGAAAGTGTCTCAAACTCGGTTTCCTTCCTGTCCACAATTCAAAAGGAGTCTTTTGAACTGCCTTACTAGGAACCCGGTTAAGCAAATAAGCGGCTGTCT